AACCTTGCTGATGAGTTTTAAGTAGACGACAACAAGAGACAAATGAAAAGTATACACTTCTCATCTCCATCTCCATTCCTGGTGCTGTGATAAAATCCTCTGCCAAAAGCAACCAAAGGAGGAAAGGTTTACAGCTCACAGTTCAAGGTTACAGTCCACCATTCAGGAGAAGCCGCCGGTAGCAGGAGCTTGAGACGGGGGAGGAGCAGAGAACAACGGGTGAATGTATGCTTTCCCTCCCCACATACACCGTCTGCTTATGCTGTCCAGGACTCAGCTAGGGAATGGTGCCACCCACAGTGGGCAGGTCTTCCCACCTCAAGGTTATCACAATAACCCACCCAGGCATGCTCAGAGGTCCATCTCTCCGGTAATACTAGCTTTTGTCAAGTTGACAACAGCTCCTCGGCTGGCTTTTTTGTTTTGTTATTTTTGTTTTGTTTTGTTTTTCGAGACAGGGTTTCTCTGTGGCTTTGGAGGCTGTCCTGGAACTAGCTCTTGTAGACCAGGCTGGTCTCAAACTCACAGAGATCCGCCTGCCTTTGCCTGGGACTAAAGGTGTGTGCCACCACTGCCCGGCTAGCTCCTCGGCTTTTTAGAGCATTCTCTACATTTTTAAAATATACATATTTTTAACTCAGTGGTTGAGTGCTTGCCTAGCATCCACTAAGCTCTAAAATCGTATTTTTTTTTAATTTTAGAGATATATTACTAACCAATCAGTCACAAGTCTTGAAATAAGAGACAGTAAAGATCAAAATCCCAGCCAGGTGTGGTGTCACATGTCTTTAATTTCAACACCCTGGGGACAGAGGCAAGCAGATATCTAAGAGTTTGAAGCTAGTGTGGTCTACATAGTTGAGTTACAGGCAAGCCAAGGCTACTTAATGGGACCCTTTCTCAACCAATAAATAAAATAAAAAATAAAAATTCCAGTTGGGGGGCTGGAGAGATGGCTCAGAGGTTAAGAGCACTGGCTGCTCTTCCAGAGGTCCTGAGTTCAATTCCCAGCAACCACACAGCCATCTGTAATGAGACCTGGTGTCCTCTTCTGGTGTGTAGGCATACATGCAGGTAAAACACTGTACGCAATAAATCTTTTAAAAAAATTCCAGAGCTGGGCAGTGGTGGCACACGCTTTTAACCCCACCACTCAGGAAGCAGAGGCAGGTGGATCTCTGTGAGTTTGAGGCCAGCCTGGTCTACAGAGCAAGTTCAAAAAAATTCCAGTTAGTTATGGTGGTGCACATCTGACCCCAGGATTTGGGAGGTGGAAACAGGAAGGTAAGAAATTCTAAGTTATCCTTGGCTACACAGTGAGTTTGAGGCCAGCCTGGGCCACATTATACCTTGCCTCAAAACAAAGGGGCTGGAGAGGTGGCTCAACGGGTAAAGTACTTGCTTTGCAAACACAAGGACCCAAGTTTAGAGCCCACCAAAAAGCTGATGTGGTGGCCCATGCCTGTGACCCCAGTGCTGAGAATGAAGGCAGCCACTTCTGAGGACCCACTGGCCAGGCAGTTTAGCTAAAATAGCGAACTGTAGGTTCAGAGGGGACCCTGTCTCACAAAATAAGGTGCCAACCACTGGCCTTCACACACACTGCCTCTCTGGGCATATCTGTTCATAAACATATCACATAGACCACACATGCACTAAAACAAGGGTCAGCCATGGGTTTTGGGGTCAAGGTGTGCGTGTGGTCCTAGCAGAAGGATGTAAAGGCAGAAGGTTATCCTGAGTCATCAGGGACCTTGTCTCAAAAAAAAAAAAAAAAAAAAAAACAG